AATGCCTCAGGCACCCGTGGGGAATTCCGCATCTATCGGAAATTTACCCCTCTACCTCAATGTGCGATTCCTCCCTTGGACAACTTGCAATTGGGAAGAGATAAGAGTTCCATTCTCTGCGTTATCAGGTGAGGTCGGCTCTTTGTCACATTCTAATCTGTCCTACCTGGATTCTTTTAGCCTTGCAGTGTATGACTCACAGATTAGACCCTATATTAATTATCGCTCCCACAGAACTCTTCCGCAACTCGATTAAAGCCTCGGTCTACAAGGACTAGACCAAAAATCATGGCGTCCACTACCATCTACATCGACGAAGACGTCGGTAGAGACGAGTCCCCCGCCAACGGCACCGAGACCGCCCCCTACAAGACCCTCGTCCACGCCTACGTGGAACACCCCCCCACCACCGAAGGCATTCAGTACCTCACACGCAAGTCCCAGACCGACGCCGCCGGTGAGGATGTCGACCCCGCAGCCAAATTGGAGTGGAAGCCCGCCACCAAGTCGGCAATGAAGAAGGCCAACAACCTCTGGGAGCAGCGCAAGAAGAAGGCCGCCAAGGAACAGGAACTGGCCATCCGCGAGAAGGCCGAGGCCGACAAGCGCCAGAAGGTCCTTGAGGAAGCCAAGAAGGTCGTGATCAAGGAGGACACCTCGCTGCCTAAGCCTGTGCGCGTTCGTCTGGACGTCACTGACCCGGCCATCATCAAGCTGCGCACCCCCGAGTCCGAGGAGGCTGGCACCCGAGTCCGCGTTCTGGGCCGAGTTCACCGTGCCCGCGCCCAGAAGGATGTCGTTTTCATCACTCTCACCGACGGCTACGGGTACCTGCAGTGTGTCCTGACCGGCGACATGGTCAAGACCTACGACATCATGACCCTCACCCTCGAAACCTCCATGTCCATCCACGGTGAGATGCGCGCCGTGCCCCCCAAGCAGCACGCTCCCAACGACCGCGAGCTGCACGCCGACTTCTTTGAGATCATCGGCAAGGCCGCTGGTGACAAGGAGGCTATTACCACGCGTGTGGCGCCGGACGCCGACCCGCAGACTCTCTACGACAACCGCCACTTGGTTCTGCGTGGTGAGACCTCCTCCTCCGTCATGAAGGTGCGCGCCGCTACCCTGCGTGCTTTCCGCAAGGCTTTCGAGGAGACCCGCATGCTGGAGGTGACCCCTCCCGCCATGGTGCAGACCCAGGTTGAGGGTGGCAGCACTCTGTTCGGATTCGATTACTACGGCGAAAACGCCTACCTGACCCAGTCCTCGCAGCTGTACCTCGAGACATGTCTCCCCTCCCTGGGTGATGTGTACTGTGTGTGCCCATCTTTCCGTGCCGAGAAGTCCCTGACCCGTCGCCACTTGTCTGAGTACACGCACATCGAAGCCGAGTTGGACTTCATCACTTTCACTGATCTGCTCGACCACCTCGAGGATATCATCTGCCGCGTGATTGACTACACTCTGGCTGAGCCTGAGATTGCTGGATATATCAAGCAGCTCAACCCGGACTTCAAGCCCCCGTCTCGTCCCTTCCGTCGCATGAAGTACGACGATGCTATCCAGTGGTTGATTGAGCACGAAATCCCCAACGAGGAGGGCCAGCCCCACCAGTTCGGTGATGATATTGCCGAGGCTGCTGAGCGTCGCATGACTGATATCATCAACCAGCCCATCTTCCTGACTCACTTCCCCGCCGATATCAAGGCCTTCTACATGAAGAAGGCTCCCGAGGACCGCCGTGTCACCGAGAGTGTCGACGTGCTCATGCCCGGTGTTGGCGAGATTGTTGGTGGTAGTATGAGAATGGACGACTGGGATGAGCTGATGGCCGCCTACAAGCACGAGGGCATGGACCCTTCTCCCTACTACTGGTACACTGACCAGCGCAAGTAAGTTTTGATATCTTGCTTTTGTTTTTTTCTTCATTCATCGTTTATTCGTCCATACTAACATTCGAACAATAGGTACGGTACCTCCCCTCACGGTGGCTACGGTCTCGGTCTCGAGCGTTTCTTGGCCTGGCTGTGCGCTCGTTATACCGTCCGTGACTGCTCACTGTACCCCCGGTACACTGGCCGTTGCACTCCTTAGATATGTTAAAAAGGGAATTGCTACAGACACGGCACGTTTTGCTAGTAGCACGGCACATTAGGTAATATTCCCTTTACATAATCAATTTTGACCGAGATCGTTACCATACATTACCACAGCAACTACATTACTTACTACTGTAGCAACTACATTCTATCTACTTCTGCTATAAGAACCACTCTATCTTCTCATTGATCTTACTTCATCCAATTGATCTTACTTCATCCAATTGATCTTACTTCATCCAATTGATACTTGATTTCACCTAATCATGGAGCCACCAATTGAGCAAGTCTTTGAGACTAGAGAGCAACTCCTTACTTCGATACGACAGCATGCCCTATCTCATGGTTATGCTATCACTATCATCAACTCCGCTAAGGAGAGGAATATTTGTCTTGGTTGTGATAGAGGCGGTATATACCATGATCATATTGATGCCCCAGAAGGGGCAAAACGCCGGAAGACAAGTACTAGACGGATGAACTGCCCATTCCGCCTTTATGCAAAGAAGCTTGTTGATACTAATCAATGGGAAATCCAGGTAAGAAATCCTAATCATAATCATGCAGCTACTAATAATATGATAGGGCATCCTATGGCAAGGCGTCCACAGCTTACTAAAGATCAAAATCAAACTATTGAACATCTATCAGATATTGGATCTCGACCGCAGCATATTATAAGTCTATTAAGAAAGGATCAACCTGATATCTTAATAAGACCAAAAGATATTTATAATATAAGAGGTAGTATAAGACAGAAAAAGCTTAGGAATCACTTACCTCTTGAACTTCTTCAACAGATATTAATTCAGAATCAATGGAAATATATATTTAAACAAGATATAGAAGGTCATGTTCAATTTTTTATGTTCGCTTACCCTGAATCAATTAAGTATGCTAATCAATATAATAGGGTCTTTTTATTAGACTGTACTTACAAGACGAATCGGTATAAGATGCCTCTTTTACATATTATTAGTCTCTCGCTATCGAATTCATCCTATAGTATTGCTTTCTGCTTTATGCAAAATGAGCAGGAAGAAAGCTATAAGTGGACTTTACAGACTTTTTTTTTATGGCTTGACCCCTTACCCTTTTCTCCAGTTCTTTGCACTGACAGAGATCTTGCTTTATTAGGTGCAATTAAATCTATCTGTCCTAGAAGCCCACATCTACTATGCATTTGGCATATTAATAAGAATGTGCTGGCAAAGACAAAGTAATATTTCTCTTCAAATGAGGAATTTGAGGCTTTTATCAAGTTATGGAAAGAGCTAATTAATTCATCAAATATTGATGAATATAATGCTCAATTAGCTAAGTTCACAACGCAGTTTAATCAAATTGCCCCTAATGCTCTTAGATATATTCAAAGTACTTGGCTAACCTATAAAGAGATGTTTATTAGGGCTTGGGTAGGGCAATATCTTTATCTTGGTAACTGGGCTACATCAAGAGTGGAGGGGTCTCACGCTTTTTTAAAAAAGTATATAGGGGGATCTTCAGGTGATATACTTCATGTTTTTGAGAGAATTAATAATACTTTACAGGCTCAGTATCAGCGACTTGAATCTGATCTTGCAGAAGATAAGATTAAGAGACTAAATTTCTGCTCCCACTTTCTCTATTCGAATATTATAAAGAGAACATCACGATATTCAATATCTTTGATCTCTAATCAAGCTGCTATAGCTAAGAGAGCTACCCCCGAAGCACCTTTATCAAACTGCACTAATATATTCACTAGGACAATGGGCCTTCCGTGTGCCCACCGAATCGCTAGTTTATTAACAAAACATCAACCAATCCCACTAAGCGATATCCATCAATTTTGGAGGATTGGCCTTAGTAATGAGTCATCTATATATCTGCCAATACTAGATCCTCTATTACCACCACCAACTCGCAGATCAGCTCAAGAGAACATATCAGATCAAAACATCAAAACATCAAACCAAAAGGTCACTAAGAAGAAAGCACCCTCGAAGTGCTCAAATTGTGGAGAAATTGGCCATACAATCCGCTCCTGCAGAGTGTGAAAAGCATGTAAATAAGATGAAAAGCACAATAAGATTGACTAGAGAGAATTGATTCATGGTCGGGTTCTTATAGTAATGAAGCAGTAGTAGATAGAATGTAGTTGCTACAGTAGTAAGTAATGTAGTTGCTGTGGTAATGTATGGTAACGATCTCGGTCAAAATTGATTATGTAAAGGGAATATTACCTAATGTGCCGTGCTACTAGCAAAACGTGCCGTGTCTGTAGCAATTCCCTGTTAAAAAACAAAAGTTATGTAAGCATGATCACGATAGGCACGGGAATGTGGCATGGGTGCTACAATGGATGAAGAATGAGATTTCCTTCAGATCAATAAGAACGATTCTGTTTCTATTTTCTTTGTTTTTCTTTGTTACGTACCCAGGTACGCAGTATTCACGTAGATTTGGCTTGTCTCCTTGATAATATGGATACCGACCTAGGCCTGCCACTGCAAAATTCTTTAACCCGTGGACGTGATATACTAACACGCTACAGCCCCCCCAACAATACCAAGTCCCGAGGTCTTCTATTCCCTCCTCTGACATATGCATAGCCCCCCCTTTGAGCAGTCTTCGACTTATAGGACATCCGAGAATATAGTTTCCAAACCCAAGGATCAATCCCGAATCCGTTGCTGTTGCCATTGCCGTCGAAACCCAGCCCAAGACCCTGTCACCTGGGATTCCAAAACCATCCAGAACGGAAGCATGCATGCGCATACAGCCTCAAACCGAGTCCTGTCTGCATAGATGTTTAGCTAGATTCACAACATGACTGTTCACGCGCCGCGTGACACGATCTGTTGTGCGTTCTGCCTCTCCATTGCCCCCTGACCGGTGAAGGAAGGGAAGGTGAAGATGAAGGTAAATCTGATGTTGATGTTGAATTTGGTGTTGGATTTGACATTCTTTGGCTTTGGTGTGGACTTTGGCGTTGGCATTGGCCTCGACATTGGTGCTGGTGCTGGTGTTGGCGTCGGCGTTGGCGTTAGATTTGGCTTTTTGCGTTCATCTTCCAGCTACAACAACCAGACCCACCGATGGAATCCAGTTGTCTGGTCTGATGATGCTGATGATGCTTGCCTGCTGCGAACCAGGCTTGCGATCAGTAGGGAACAGGTATTGTTACGGCACGGCTGTGATCGAGGATAGGATATAGGATTGTCATTTTGTGTATAGAAAAAGATCGGAATCGAGTTCGAGTTCGACGAAGTCTGGTCATGGTCACGGGGGATCGAATCGGCGTGGTGTCGTCTTACTGTCATCGTCTCGGGCCGCGCGAAACCCTCTCCCTGGTCCACCTCTTCTTCATCATCTCCCACAGTCAACCATGGGAGATGTATTACTACGGACTTTTCATTGGAAAGAATTGGACAGGGACTTGGGACTCTTGTGTACTCTTGTCATACTTGCCTCTAGGAAAGGGAGTGAGAGACGAAGAGAGTCTGGGTCTCTCTCTCCGTCTAAAGGAAACAGAAACGGACAGAGCAAGGATGAACCCCCAAATCGATCTCTGGGATGGGGTGAGTCCCTCTTTTCAAAACAGACCAAAGCCTTGAGGACATCTCTAGCAATGTGCCCTGGGCACCAGGATTGCCTTATGCGGGTAAGAGAGAAGAGGCGTCTACAGAAAAACAAGCGCGTAAGGGTGATCCACTACATCCTGTGCTTCCATTGCTCGAAACTGCACGGAGATAGAATCCGTGAGCCCACAAGGGTTCCCATTCCACTTGAGCTCCTTCGAGGAAACCACTAGGCAGCCCTAGGTCTCTATAGGATATTTCCGTTTCCATTGTCCAAGGGAGCAGAGAATTGATCGGTGTTCCGTGTTCCGTGTTTTTTTTTTTTTTTTTGACGGTTCATGTTCATCGTATAGACGCGCGCAACGTCAACGGCTTACCTCAACAGCTTACCTCTCCCCTCCGATTTCTGTCCGTTTTGACCGCAACTCTCGCCCCCATAGAGACACTCAATTTCGCAGTCCACATTCACCCCCGGGACACGTCCCCGTCGGGTTCTTTGGGATAAGGTGTTGATCTTGATCTTCACATCATTTTTCATCCCCGTTCCGATGTTATTCCCATTGCCGGGAATGACAATTTGTCGTGTACTGGTCGATTGGCTTGCATCGGGTCCCACACAAGTTCGGGTTAGTGGTAAGCTGTGCCGTCACTGATCGTGTTTCACTTTTGATACCGGGATATGGTATATATTATGCAGCTTGACATCCTGGACCTCGGAGGCATATCAACGTTCCCATATCAACGAAATGACAGCTGTTGGTTCAGCATCGCCTGAGGTCGTTGCCACTGGGTACAAGTACTTTTTTCTTTTAGTGTTTCATGCTCTTTTTGAGTCGGGCACATGGTCATTTTTTTCTTCTCCTTTTCAATAACCCTATTCATGCATACCCCCGGACAATACTAGAGCGATATGACATGTGACAGAACACGACACACCATACATTCAAATCACATAGGGCAAACCACCCCAGAAAAGAACATAGATGGCCCAAAATAGCTCAAAGAGTGGGGAGCTATATCGACTACCATCCGACTTGCAGGATTTGATTTGTCCTATGTCCTTTCCAAGACCTGGGCCAAAAAAAAAAAAAAAAAAAAAAAAATAAGGGCTCTCTCATGATCGTTCGTCTAGAAGGCATCAACATGCATGGGCAGCTCATGATTATGTCGACCCCCCCATTCCCAAGGTTCAATTCACTGAGCCACGCTCCAAGAAAGCAACAAGGCAAATCACCCAAAGCCACAGACCACGGCGTAGGCTCTCATTGCAAAGTCGAGTACTGAAGAGTGTGGCGTTTAGCTCCGTTCAGCTCTGTTCAGCTCTCATCCTGGACGCGTCGAAGGGTGTTGTGAATCTCCTCGTTCGACGCCCCGGAGCGAATAAGCGAAACAAGATGAGCGACAGAATCGCTATGAGCCTCACGCATGACGGCGACCAAATCTTCCAGGAACTTCCGGTAGTAGTTCAGGTCGAGTTCCTGCTGGTGGATCTGCTGGCGGCGCTCAGGTGAGTCGTTGTGTTCCCAATTCAGGCTGCGTGGGAAGGTCACGAGATCTCAGCTTTCGATCATTCAAGGGTTGTTGGAAGGGGGGTTTTTTTTTGTTTACGGAGGAAGATGCGTTTGGGTGGAAAAGAAAAAAAAACGAGAGATAAAGAGAGAGAAAATGGAAGGAAGGTCTCTTTTGCAATTTGGGGGGGGATCGGGGAAAGATGACTACTCACCGTGTTGCATTCTCGCTTGTCGAGTCAGTCTGCTGGACTTCGTTGCGGCCTCCCTGGCCTCCCTGGCCATCGACAGAGTTTGCTGCGGTCCGATCTGACATATTGGAGTTTGGGACTGCGTCAGGGTCGTGCTGTCAGAGGGAAGGGTGCTGTTCCTATGCGGGAAATGGCTTTGGGGATAGTCTGGGCTATCGTTGCTCGAAGCTGATCAAGAAGGATTCCTGGTATCCGATCTGTGTCTACCTATAGAATATCACAACTTCTTAACAATTAGCAACCGGACTACTGGCCATTTTGGGGGATAAATCGACGGATTCTAAAGGATGAATGGGGTTTAAGAGGGCGAAGTATGAGTATTGACAAGATATGAGGGGTGGGGGCACAGAGCGGTCGGCCATACGTGTTTATAGGCAAGTGTCACCCAACTTGGAGGGAGATAGTCTTATACATAGAATTCGTAGAAAGGTTGGGGGAAATGGGATTCGGAGATGGAACTCGAGAAGGTCAAAGAGGGAAATGTGGGACCTTTTAAAAGGGCAGTTGAAGGTACCTAAAGGCCCTTTGGGGGGGTACTTTAGGTACTAGGCCGTACCCCAAATGGGAATTGGAAACGGGAAATATTAATGGTATAATCCTCAAGTTAGGGCTCTCCAGGTTGTATCGGTTTAACAATCACTGGATAATTCCCGGAGTTAGAATAAAGAAAAGATCTCTCCAAAAAATCAAAGAAGAATTGCATTGTAGTTGTTCAGGATCGTCGAATCAGCCGGATAAAACTGCCAGCCAATCGTCAACCGTAGTTTTCTCCATAGAGAAACCATTCAAACATTATATTTCGTCCAACCTAAGCTCACGTCTTTGATCATAATTTTTTTTTCGCCGGGTTTTTGTACTTTGAGCTTTGGTCCTGGTCGGTGGTTTACTGGGAAAATGATGCGAATTTGGAGGCCATGTATTCGGATTTGTGTACCTCGCATGTGTATTCGGGTTGCCGATATCTCTCTCCGGATAGATCCTTGATTCCAAAGAGGCAAAAGACATTCTTTTTCTTGCATCCATGGCAAATTTGGACTTTCTGTTCAAAGTAGTTTGTTTGTCGAGGGGTCGAGGGGTGCAGTGACAGCACTTTGCACTGTTTTGTTCCACTATTCCAGAAAGACCCCGGGACACGGGAGCCAATTGGGGTGGCTGGACTCTTCAAGTGGACTCGAACTAACTGCGATTAGACTGACTGCAAGTATCTTTAGCAAAGATGGAATTCGACCCTCCATCTCGATGACTTGTTGAGACGGACCTTTCATTATACCTTGAAGCTGGAGCTGTGGATCCTGGTTGTGGACAATCTGCCGAAACGTTGTCTTGCCAACTCCCAACCCGAACGGGTTATTAGGTATCGCTGGGACTGGGTTCTGTTTTCTTTCACCCCTCAAGGAAACATATTGGAGAGGTAATGTTCTCTCAATCTTGTCTGAACAGCATTCAGCTTTCACAGAAACCGCGTACTGACTGGCTCTTTCCGTTTAGGACCCTTTGTTAGCGCCGCATTCCCTTTCTCCAACGTCGAGACCCTTCAAGCCAATTGCTCCCTCTCCTTGTCTTTTTGACAATCGAATCCTCCATATTCACACTGTATACATTTCTGTATACTCGGCCGCACTTATAAAGAGAGCACGGCTGGCTCTTCGCCCCAAACATCCATTGCATGACCCCGAAGATTTCGTTCCCGGCACCACGACCTCCGAAGGGGTTGAAACTTGAGCATCACGCCTTGAATGTCTTATAAGACTGTCTAGGCATAGATTGCAGGTCGCTGAAACCAGAACAAGGGTTATAATGATATGGCCGTCCGGCTATGAGGGCCATGGACGCGGCTAGACGGAAGGACCGATTCACCAACACTCCATGGTAATATTCAGTTGGCAGTGCCTGGGTATTGGATTGAATACCACATCTCTGGGGGGTTGACATGGAACTAGCATTTGATGCGGAGTCTGGCGTTGGTTATGGTATGATATACCAACCCAACCCAACCCAACCCCTGGCTCCCATGTCCTTCTCTGCGAGCATGATGTGGTACCAGTCCTTTACACCAACGCTTCCGGTTATTGGCCATATGAAGCACGTCCTTACCGCCGCAGTATAGCGTGTCTTGAGTCCGGTGGATCATCTCACTTTCCGTCGACTCCAGGATATTTGCCGGGTATTTATGGGGCATGTGGGCTTGATGGAGGTGTTTCGCGGAACTGAACGGGAACTGGAACGAAGGTAAGTGACCGGTAGTGCAGTACGGGGCCAAAGGCACCGTCACAAAACTATTCTTTGTGGACGTTGTCGTGGGGCATCTTTGTGCATCAACGATGAAGCGTGTGTGGTTTCATGTCGGTTCAGGTCAAGGGGAATTATGTCTGTTAATCTTGCAAGCCACGGAAAAGTCCATGTTTGAAGACCATCTTCGGGTCAGATGTCAACTTGAGCACGAGGTCCCATCGTCACGGAGTACAAGAACCCCGTGATCATCTGAGCCATACCAATAAGGGGAGCATTGATCGGTGATTCGAGGCCGTTTCATTCGGGCCAAGTCAAAGATTGCTTTGGTGTTGTCGGGCTTTCGATGGGGGCCGTGATGGGCATTGACGGTGGCTCTGTGCACAGCCCAAAAAAGCGTGTTGTCGTGTTTTCTAGGAACCCTGAGAACAAGCAGCCCTGTCCTCATCCGTTGTAGCCTATGGGTAACATCCGATCTGTCCGAGTCAGTCATTACACGACACGGTCGGTAACCTTCCAAGGTAGGTAGGCAGTTACCCCATTGGGTCAGCTCGATGCATGACCGGGGCAGGGTCCTCTTGTGGTTGTTTTCTCGTCAAGATGAGGCTTTATTGTCGGTAATGGTGATGTATCAGGGGTAGGATAGATACCAAACTTGAGTGAGAAAGCAGGTGTGAGGTCTACCGACTTCGAAGCGGAAGGCTTGACCCCTTCGACATCACTTTGAGGTAATCTTGGAAGGATACCTGTCACCAAGCGATGTCAGCTGTTTTCCCGGGTACAACCTCATCTCGAGAGTACACCTCGAGACTTTCCAATTGTCATTTCTCCCTGAAATGACACGAGCAGCCACCATAAGAAAGGTAGTCTGCTTTCCCTAGGGGATGGAAGGACAACTTGGAAGGGAAAGCCCTATCCTTCACCCCGTCCAATTGGATCCACCCATAACGAGGAAAATAGTTCCTGGCGAGGTTATGGGGGCTCCACCAACCCCAATATTGGAATACGCTTATTAGTGTCAGACTTGCGTTCTAGAATGTACATTGATGGCTCACGAGGAGTTTGGAGTCCAGATCGAGCTCCGCCGATATGCGAAGGTGGAAGGGTGTGTTAAGAAGTTCTCATGGAGGACAAGCGTCAAGAGAATGTCCTGTGATCGGGCCGGGACGGGTCTTCTTCAAGGTCTAGGTCTCACTTCTGACCACCAATGCAGTGGCGGAACCAACACGAACAGCAGAATATGGAGGCTCTTGATGACCCCGTAAGAACATGGCGGTCGATCCTTGATGAGGATCCATGCGTCAGTGGCACCAAATGTTCCGTGGCTAGGTCATCTTGATCTATCTAGGTGGTTTCCAATGTTGTCTTAATGTTGTCTCATTTCTCATTTCATGTTGTTTTCAGTTTTCAGTTTTCTTTTGACGAATTTGTTATTCAGGTCCACAGCTCAAGGGGAAATAGATAGGGCTAGTAGATCTCCTATTTCTGACAAAACATAGAACATAACCTTGAAACCCAGCAAGAGCTTACGCTACCTACATCGATGAGGGGAAGAGAGTGAGTCAGTGGCTCATCATAGCCCTGAGTTACCTAACTTTCCAGCCTTGTGTCAGCCTCTAAGAGCATCAAGCCCATTGCAAAGTTGGGAAGCCTAGAAGCCTTACGTAAAATTCTTACGTGAACATGACAGGTCCCGGGGCCCGATGTCCCAGGGCTGCCGGGGCTGCCACTGGGCAGATGACCTGATGATTTGGCAGTGATTTTAGGTTAAGTTCACTGTACCATGGATGGACTCTAATAACCTTGCATATAATCCACACCTATCTCTACGGGGCTACACGGATCTGGACTTTATTTCCACCATAAAATCTCCGATATATATTGTCTCAATTTACACACGTGCCTTAAAAATCCCAGTGATACTAATCAAGGGACCCCTAGTTGTCCTCTTTATCAATCCACTTCCGCGAACTTTGATATGTAACTATCATGAGCCAAGTCCATACTCCTTGCCAGGTCGGAATCAAATATAAGAATAACAATTAACTACTGGCTAAACAAACCAATAGATTAACTACTCAATTCGACAACCTCTAGTTTATACACTGTATCATATAGTCATGCTGTGCATGCCAATGTATACAAATTCCACATTCCACAGCCACCCAAAAATGCCACCAGCGCAACACCTAAGAACAACCCTCCATTCCCAATGTACGCGTGAAACACTAATAATTAGCCCTTATCCCGCGCGTTGATTCCACTTTCGCCTCTGACAACCGACAACCAACGCCAACTGACGACAACAACCGACAACCGGCCGCAATCTATACACCTAAAAACACAGGGAAAAGAAACAAAAAACAGCAGCAATAAGGAAAACAGAAAGATCAATTTAAACATGCATCTTTCCACTATTCTCCTCCTCAGCGCCTCTCTCGCTTCGGCACAATACGGCCCAAGCCCGGAGGCACTAGAATACCTCAAAAGCCTCAACGGCGCAAACAACGGCCAAAACCAAAACCAAAACCAGGGCCAGAACTACAACCCCGACCACAATGGCAACCTCGGCAACTACGACGCCGACCACAACGACTATGAAAACCTCCTCCCGAGTCCTCACACCCCAATCCAAGCCCCAGCATCATCGCCAACCCCGATCCACAGTACATTCGTCGTGCGCCCTTCCCAGGCATTCGTTGCTCCGTATCAGGCCCCAGCACCGGGATACGAGTACAATTACCCAGCCCCGGCTGTCTCTAAACCACCTGCCACACAGCCAGTCCAGCAGGCTCCAGCTCGGGCTCATATTCCCCAGCACCCGGAATCCAACCAAGACCAGTCCCGGGATTCCCGTCGGTCCTATGGATTACCATTCAATTTAGAGGACGAGGACGAGGATGCTTCGGCCGGAGCATCGGGTGGTGCTGCACCGCAGGTTGCTCCGCCTGCGCTGTTCACGAACTCCAAGTTTGGGAAGGATGAGGGGAATACTTTCTGTACTGGAAGTTGTTTTAAGGAGGAGAGTCAGGCGAAGTGTGCGAAACCTTATGTGAGTTTTTTTTTTCTTTCTTTCCTCTTCCTGTGTATGAGATACAGGTATATAGAGGTAAATATGTGTATCTTGGTTTACTAATACTTTTCTTCTTAGTCTTCGGCTGTCTATAAGCCGGCTAAGGGGTGCTATATGTGCTGCTTTACTTCTGATTTCTAGGGTTTGGATCTAGATATTGGGCTGTGAGAGATGGGTTTATTTGGTGTTCTCATTAGAGCGATGATAAATGAGATGGATCTCGAAGGTTTCAGGATATCTATCTATTGTTTTGATTCTTATACTTCTTTGTGAGGCTCTTGGTCGATATTTTAGTATTGCCCGCCTTTCTTAGAATATATTTATTTCGTTTTGTTATGTGTTTATTCATTAGATGAACTAAGAATGGGATGTATAGACTAGGATAGAAAGGTTCACCGGCGCTGAGATTGACTAGCCCTAATTTACGCCACCGGCCTATCAGCCTGAACCCAACTACATAGTACATTACATGCATATAGTACATCTGTACCGTAGATAAGCACCTTAGATCTAGTGTTAGATGTATCCACAAATAAATAAGCTTGAATTAAAGAACCAGACTAACATTGCTTAATTTACTGGATCTCGGCGGAGACAGAGATGGATGAAAATAATCTCAAGAGGTTCATTTGATCTAGATACCAGAGATATCCGCATTAAAAAAAGTCTATATTCGCTCGGATAGATAGTAGGGAATAAAAAAGTAAGCAGCAAAATCCATCAGATCATATCATTTTCGACGCTGAAGAGCCACACCTCGCTCAGATCCAGAATTCAAAGAGAAGAAAAGAGAAACGGACACGGGGGAGCGCGAGAAATAAACCGAAAAAGAAACAAAAAGAGCAAATATAAGTTCATCTGATTTTACGAGACAGCAAACAAGTCCATTTTTTCTTTGTTCAATTCAGTTCTTCACGCAAGTCTCGACGGGCCGGCCGCCAATACCCCGCGCCATGCAAATGGGAGCAGAGCGTTTCTCATACGAGCCATCTTCCCACACAGCACTGCTGGCCGGGAAGATAGAGCCGCTGTCCGAGACACCGATGGTGCCGAGATCCTCATGCGCAGAAGCGATGTGCGGGACGACCAGCTCGACGCCCTTGGTCACGCTCGTACCGGAGAAGTACGGGTTGTGGCGCGGGGGCAGCGGGCGAGCCTCGTACATGCTGCCCAGGTAGTCGGAGGCGGTGCTGCTGAAGGACGAAGCCACGGTGGACGGGGTGTTGGTCAGACTGGGCACGTGACTGTGGCTGTGGGCCACACCTCCGGCCAGGGCGGGAAGGCTGGAGCTGCTGCGTTGGACGGTGGGTCGGGAGAGCATGGGCTCACCGCTGCCACGGTGGAACTGGGAGAGATAGTTCCATGCGTCGGAGGAGGCCAGGGATGAGGCATTGCGCGTTAATACGGGCTTCCATTCGGTGGGGTCAAGATCTGACTTGGCATCATGCATGTGGCTGGGTATCCGCATAGCAGGGATGGGGTGGCTTGGCACCCTGGTTGGGGTCAATGGGGCCACGATTGTGCGTGGAGAGAGAGGAGGAGATGTGGGAGGTGTAGTGTTGGAAGACATTGAGGACATGGATGGGAATGATGCTGAGAGTGGTTTGCGGGAGTCTTTGCGGCGGCAACTATATAGATGAAAGGAAATGATAAGTATTCGAGTACCAAGATATATGAATGAATGCAGGTCCCAAACAAAGAATCGGGAGGGAGGAAAGAGAGGAAAGGAGAGGATATCGATGGATCTAAATATAGGCCGGGGGAGCAATTGTCACATACCTTTCGCTACAATATAATAAAGTGTTGTTGGGAACGGTAATTTGGTTCTCACACATGGCACTGGAATTGGGTCAGCTTTATGTCCATTGAACAAAAGATCGGTGTATGGAACACAAATGACGGCAACAGGCATGCGAGGGAAATGATCCCTGCAGGATTCAAAGATAAGAGGTTTTGGGTTGATCACATACCAAAAGTTCAAGAAACTGGCCATCTCAAATTCGATATCGTCCGTAGACGTCGGTGGTTTGCTCGCTCCCTTTTGTCCCGAGCCCAATTTGGAGATTGAGACGTTGGCACTGGATGTCCCCCGTCGATGTAAAGCTGGACGAGTAGACTTGGACTTAGAGGCATGAGGAGAGGAAGGGAAGCGGCGTTGAAAGGGGGCTGTTTGAGTCATGGGTGGCGGTGAAGGCTTTCAAATGCCTCACTATCTTATCAAGAAGACTCTATCGCCGAGACTGGAGCCAGTGTGGAGCACAAGGACCCCTGGGGGAGCACAGACTGAGGGATTTGTGTCCAAAGTATTGATTTCAACTGGAATGTGCCGAGTCGGTGCAATTGGGAATACAAAATGCTTGGGGAGAAAATAGAAGAAATCCCGGAGTATGTATAATTGAGAAACGTGGGGTGAAGAAAAGTCGATGCTGATAAGGCGTTAGCATCTGACACACACACGAGCACTTCCAAGGTTGATGCAACGGGGCTATCTTTAGCCTGTGAGTGGGGAGAGATAAGGTGGAGATAGAGATAAGGTGTGACATACCAAAGGGGAAAGGTCTGTAAAGTCTATAAAGTTGCACTTGAGACTGAAGAAAGTGAATGACACAGAAGGAATTAATTAAAAAAAGAGGGGGAATGGATTGGAATATATATAAACATAAAATATAAAGTGGATGGGTGGAAAACCAGCCCTGAAGAGAAGAAGAAGAAGAGAAGGAGAAACGTGCTGTTGCGGTAGGATGAGACGATCACGTCTAGACTCTCTGAAACATAATTCGACATCAAGTACCCTGTAAGTCACTCCCGATTGAGTTTATAGGTATATTCCCGGCAAAATAATACTTCCCCGGTACTTACCGGGTACTTACCGGGTACTCCCAGGGTACTTGCCCCTCGACACGCAATCCCCGATCTAGACCAGCTGAGTCACTTGTGACGAGCACCTTTAGGGCTGTCCATAATTAGTCGGTCTTGTATTTTGGTATTTTGGTTATATGGCATGTTTCTATCTCTTAGGATCTGATCTGTCATTCTCCACTTCACTTCATTAGGGATGTTGCATTTTTCTCAGATCCTAGTCCTAAAAGCACAGATGCGCACTTCCAAGTATATGCATGCAGTAGCGCAGGGACCATATCTCCGGAGGGGATCGGATCTGGCGTGATCGATAGACAGCATTCCTCACAATCTACTTAATAACTTGGAGTATAAATTTTGTACATACCATATATCATATGCCATGGAAGAAAATCTACATTCTAAATGACGCCATAACTGCCTCGACGATTTCAAATTTCATATAAAGACCCAGATGGCGTGAACTGGTGGGTATGAAATACATCATCGCCCCAGTATTTACATTAAACACACCTTATTTTTTTTAAAAAAAAACATTTGTACAAAGTATAGTCTAAGATAATTAGAATTCCATACATGGTAGAGAATAACTGCCGGCTACGGCGACTACCAAAATCGATCGAACAATCGAGAATCTCTGTGGGGATAGGATATTAAGTGCCACACACACACACAGACACACACCCTGGACACGTCTACCTATTACGATATAGTGTTGCAGGGGCCTCGTCAGAGAGATGTGGGACTGCCTAGGCATCACTCCAGGCCTTGAGACGCTGCTAATCGTCGATCTTCCGTGTTTCGGGTCTATGGAGAAAACCGGGGCTTTCGAGAACAATTCCCGGAAGATATTCTTCGACTTGTTTACATCAGAAGATAACCTTCTTATATTAGGAGTTTGTTTGTGGTCTTTTTTCCTCTTTCCCGTTTGCTTTCCGCCGGATCCCGAATTCGTTCCTTGGATGACCCAGATTGGGGTATAAAATATCACAGGGCGAATTTGAGATTGATTTTTTTTTACAGTGGGGCCGGTGACATCTGTCAACATAGAATACATCATAGGAGTGAAGCTTTGACGTGGAAAAGTCTATAGAGTCTTAGACAAAGTCCATTAATGTGGAGTAGAGGTGATTCTGACGTTTGGGGTTATTAGGTCTCGATTCTATCTGGGTATCTACTAAATATCGTACAAATAATCTCTCATGCTTTATCAATCTCCATTGGCTCTGGAGGCGCTGCGCGAGTCGCGGACGGGGTAGGCGTCGAGGGAACCTCGCTGTTGATAGCCATTCTGTCTATGCTCTTCCCTGTAGTAGACCTGGCCTGGCCCTCAGCCTTATCGGTCTGCAGTTTTACTGTACCTGGACCCGGCTTGCCTGTAAAACGCTCGGGCACTCCGCGGGCTGCCTGGGCCGGGCCGACAAAACATCCAAGCATCGAGCTCCAGATATACCCTTCCGACAGCAGACGGCGGATTTGGCCATATGCGTATGAGTTGGCGTAGGGAAGAGCGGTGTCTGGATCGCGGTAACGCGAAGGCAATGAGGTGATGACACAAAGCGATGACGAGATTTCTATTGTGTGAGATTAGCCTTAACAGGTTCCTAAGAATGAAGCGAAAGGATACGTACTGGTCAAACGAGCAGGTTTCTTGGCGTTGAAGTACATGCTGTATTTGCGATGGTTGACGGTCGCATAATCAAAGTTTTCCAAGATCGTGAGACAGCGCCCCGTATGCTCGATCACTGGAGGGGGTTCTGGAATATCGGGTTGTGGTGGTTGTGCGGGTTCATTCACCATTCCATTTGGTAATTGTGATTCGGACTGTAATGTGGAGGGTTGGTTTAGGCTCTGGACTGGGGCGTTTTCGGGCACCGTGGCTTGACCAGGTGCTGCAGTGGCCGGCGAGGCTTTAGGGGCCAGTGCAATCCCAGGGCTGATAGCAGTGGCGGATTCAACTGGCCGAGACTCGTCCACTGGCGGTTCTTGTACAACCGTCCCCGCTGCATGTGATGTAGGCGTCTCTGTGGAAGTCGGTTGGGCACCAGCAACCTGTGGAGTGGCCAAGCTTGCCTGGTCTGCTGATTCTGGAATATTTTGATCAATCTTGGTAGAATCTGCAGCCGCTGCAGCCGCTGGAGGTTGATCAATATCCATAGCATCGTCGTTCTTGGGGGGGACGGTTCGGGCAATTTTTGAGTAGGGTCATTGCCCGCGGAATCTAATCCATGACGAGACGCTGAACTTTCCACAGCAAACATCTTTCTGTCCGATTGTTTAGACGACTCTGAGGACTGCTTTTCGGTGGCGATGGACTGATCTTGCCCAGAGGGTGGTACTAGTGTATTTGCGTCAACCTCTGGAGCTTTGCTTTCCGCAGCATTGTCCTTGCTCTGCTCGGCAGGTGTCGTGATGGTCTTCGTCTCTGAAGAGTTTACATCTGGTTGGTTGACGATCGCCTCAGAAGATACCACGGGGGTTTCTGTATTCTCTGCTGTCGGAGCTGCGGCATTTTCGGGTGGCTTGTTTTCAGGCGTCTTTTGGTCTAGTGTGGAGGTGGGAGGATGTAGAGCGGGATTAGTTGGATTCGTGGGAGCAGAAACTGCATGGAAGTCTGGTGGCGGTTGTGATGTGCCTGTGGTAGAGACAGAGGCGGGTCCAACAATGGTTGCAGACCCCGAGGCCTTTGCCTCTGCTGCAGCCTTCTCCTTATCTTCCTTCTCTTTCTTTTTCTTCCTCGATTCCTCCTTATCTGCCTTTGGTTTGATGTCGATCTTGCCAACTCTTGTGAGACGTCCGTTCGTCCATGTAGCCACACCACTCCAGTAGGAAATCACCGGACCATCAAGACGGCGATTTTGTAGTGCTTCGATCCTCGCTCGTCTTTCGTCCGCCTTTCTTTTTTCCGATAGCTCCCAGCGGTTCAAACTTTTGCTATTCAGCCGTTCCACTCTTGCAGCTTCCGCAAGATGATCTTCCTGGGTCATCTCTTTCGGTTTGAGATGGGCCTTCCGCTTCTCTGCCTCCTTCATTATAGCGATGATGCGGACTCGTTTTTCCTGGCTGTCCTTGAGACGAGCATGCGTAAGCTCCTTGTTGACCATGGTCTGTCGACGCGATGATTGCCGAGTAGGGCCATCCTCCACAGTAGGAATCCACGAGATACGCTCCGACTTTTTCTTCGGGCGAGGAGCGGCGGACATGGCGGATGGGGCGGTCGGATCGATCTTGACTCGTTTGCGCAAGGTCTGGAACCGGAGGTCATTCTGGGCTCTGCGCTTCTTGCGCTCGTCTTTTTGTAGTTTCTGTTCGCCCTCGTAGTCGTTCTGCGCATTCGGCCCTTGGTCTTCATCCTCGTCCGACGATTCAAGCAACTCATCCTCTGCGTCGGGGTCTAACTCATCCGCAAACTCATTATCGTCTTCAACTTCTTCAAAGAGAAGCGCCAAGTCGTCATCCGCGGCGGCCTCAAGAAGGGCAGACATGTGCAGTCCTGCGGTACTTCGTTTCGCGCGCCCTTTGACCAATGACTCCACGGGCATCTCCTCTTCTTCCGACGATTGAAGCCCAGACGATGGGTCTTCTTCCATAATATCGGCCATGGTGTTACTGGGGTGGCAGGTGCCTTAAAAGTGGACGATTAAGCATCGGACGCGAGAAGGGGACGCGCGCGCGACAAACTAGGCTTGAATCGCGTATGAATGATCAGCCCAAATTTGGAAAACTATAACATATAGAATGTGGACTCTGCCACACGTTTAAATATGAGCAGTTGAAGTGATGGAAAAATACCGGGGCAAGTTGGCAAGGAGAGTGGCTTGAACAGGTAGTGGCGCGAAAGAAAAGTTGGTGCCTCAGGCGAGAAGAAATGGTCTGACCAATGGCCTTGACTAACGTGTTTACAAAGTACATCGACCTTGAAGCAACGACACAAGGTTTCTTTGATAGTTCATTTGGTCCTACCTGCACTGCATAGTGACTGATACTACTTCAACTAGTATCCTAGAAGTGACAATTCATCTTATTATGTATCACCATGCCATGAATCTCCCGGTTCTTCCGCCATACCGAATCCTTCTCGAAGCTTGGCGAACACCCTGAAGATCCAGAAAGCTCCCTGGAGTTCTTCAAGCTAGCTAGCAGTCGACAGATCGAGTCTGGTCTAATTACGTCCCCAACACAGCCACTATTGACCAGCCCGAGAGGGCTCTAGGCCTGACGCCTCTAGTAGGGAACAAGGACGAGGACACGTACCTGACCCATATCCCTTGCGCGCACCCAAAACATAGTTTTGTGGTCTCATAGGTTCAAACCTCAGTCAATTCAATGTTTTCCTTATATGACCAATTGTGCCATATCCCATACGCCAGGACGATATCTTTGCATTCGCGATGAGCCTATTTTATCTATAAACTGTCAAGGATTCAAGCGTAAAGGCATGACGCACTGGAATGCGGGGCTTTTTTTTTCGTTTCCACTCTTGTCTCTCTTTTCGTGGTCATGCCATGATCGCTTTTCTTCCGACAGAACCTTGAATTGGGCTTTCTGGAGGGAATGCTGGGGTTATAAAGGTGTTGTATCTGTACTAAACATCCATGGATATGGATATACATACCTCTTCTAGATTTGTTGATACCTCCCCATGTCTAACCCGAATGGAGTCTGCCTGAAATCAATGACATCGATGGGGCTGTGCCAATGCCAAACGCCTGGAGGATGCCGATTCCCGATATTTATTCTCGTTTGGATGTTCGGATGCTTGAATGTACACAAGACGCATTATGGGAGTCCTTCTAGATATCCGTCTAGGTACTTATGTACCTTGGATATGCCAGAAATCGATAGAAAATGAAACCAACCATAAGAGTCATAGCGTAAATGGATCCAATTACATTCAATCATTCAGTCATCCGTATTTGAACCCAAAATTCATCTGAATCAACAATCGAATTGTGGGTGAAGCTGAAGGAGGGCCCTCCACCAACCACAGCCATCTTCCTCGGGCATCCGGCCAGCTCCCCAACATCTCTTCTCCTTCTTTTCATCTCCCCTTCTCATCCTCCCTTTGACTTCTTTCTCACCTTTCTTTTTTTTTCCTTTGGCTTTCTGCATTCTTAGGGTGAATTCAACTTTCGGTTAGTGTTGAATGACACTCTCGCGAGCGCAACACTAACTCAACTTCCAGCCACCTCGATCCCTTTGGACCCAGATCATCCTTTCCATCTTTTATTTCTCACTTGACGCACTTTGTGCCAGACCATCCTTGTGAATTCGCCGTGTTTTTGAGCCTTTGACGACCATAGAAAAGGACTTGTCTTTTTTTTTTTTTTTTTCTTTAGCTCAACTCGATTGCTTTGGGGCACCCGCAGATTGTCATACACCCCGAGCAAACGGTGAGATTGTCATCAAAGACCCTCGACACTACACAGTGGTGGTTGCACTTGAAAAGCATCGGACTCGGTACGAAATATTCCCATAATTCATCTTAACTGTGTGGAATTGCTTTGTCGACCCCTCCCACTTTGCGACCCCCCGATACCAACACATATTTTGAACATCAACTAATTTCGAGTTCGGTTTTTAGTGTCCTCGATCTTTCACTCTATCCTTATCCCATGATTACTGTCCCGCACTTCTGAACGATCAAGCTACATTTAATTTCCGACTTTACTCCGTTTTGGCATTCGCGCGGAGGTCATACTTTCGAACAGATCCGGGCACTGCCTTGCTGAAGGCATAAAGTGATAATCCATAATGTTGCCGGTTTCGCGACCTGATGGTCAGATGAATTTCAATTACATTCCAACTACCCAGCCCATGTCGGGTACCTCGACGGGGCGCAGCTCTCCCAGTGAACTGGCCGGGTCTGGGAACCCAAGAATGCCGTTTGGACCTTCTCCGGGGTCCATTGGCAGTTCGAGGCCGGGGGCTGGCTCCCCTTCTCATGATTTAGCATCACGTCTATACTCGAAGCGGTAGGTTTGCTTCCTATGGGACATGAAAACGCGACAATTGGCTGACATCTTGACTCTTCTCGCAGAGCCCGTGAAATTCAAGCCCAGGAAGGCATTTCTCCTAGTATTTGGGGACCTCCTACTAGCGGTCATTCAACCCCGCTCCGCGAGAATATCCCCGAGTCGCCGAGTCAAGATAGCTTCCCCGATTTGATGCCTACCACCAATGGCTCAATGGACAGCCCCGGTCGCCGAGCTCGCGCTGGAACGGTTCCATCCCGTTTCCCTCCAATGGGCACACTGAATGAGATGGATCTCCAGCAGCCTTATATGCCGCAGACTTCACGGCCAACACCCTCAACTAGTCCCTTTAGGCCTCCCGGCGTTTCCGGTATAGATACAAGTTCCAAGATCGCGAGTACAACCAGTGTGTCCAACCCGGCGTCGCTCTCTCGCCTTCGAGCTGGTTCGATGCCGCAAAGAAGCAACTTCTTGGGAGGTGGTGGCCCCTTCGGCCCATCGTTGTTTTCAACCAACTGGTCGACGGGTCGTGAGAGGGCCACACCTTTAACCAGCATTCGATCTTCGGAAGGGCCGACTTCGCCCAGCCACTCTGCTTTCTCGAGGGATGGACTTGCGGACACCGATGTGAAGACCTTGGATTACTTGGGGCTTGCTGAGACCCCCCAACAGGGAATGTCCTCTCTTGCACGTCCCTCGATGGAAGCTTTGATGCAGCAGCAGCAGCAACAGCAAGCTTCTGCGCTGCCGCCACTCCTGGCTGAGTTGGCGATGATGAAGAACAATAATCGATTCCGATCATACTCCGTCAATGCCAAGGAGAAGTACGCGGATGACGAGGATCTTGAATATGAGAGCCGTTACTCCCAACTTCCCTCCGGCACTATGACGCCAACCGCCGCTGCAACTGCCGCGCAACTTGCCGCCACACAGGCCCAGATTCACCAGCATAATCTCGCTGTCCAGGCTTTCGCCAGCCATGCCTCTGTTAGCAGACCCCGGGCGCGAACTGCTGGCATTTTGGAGGCACCTCCCCAGCGATCATCCATCCGCAACTACCTCGCCACACCTTCCCGCCTCGACAACAGCTTCAGTGCTGCTGACCTGCAGATCCCGGAGAATGGAGAATATGACGAATTGTCCGAGGCAGTTCAACTGATGCATCTTGGCGGTAACGGTATTCCAGCCATGGGTGGCCGACAGGCCGGTGAAATGGCAGATGAGAACAACCAGGATGGGCCTACCCGGGCACTTTGGATTGGTAGCATTCCCGTCTCCACGACTGTCACGTCACTCGAGGCCATCTTTGGCATGTACGGAAAGATCGAGTCGACTCGTGTTCTAACCCACAAGAACTGCGGGTTTGTCAACTTTGATCGCCTTGACAGCGCCGTGCAAGCCAAGTCGTTGCTCAATGGCAAAGAGATTTTCCCAGGCGCAGGCCCTGTTAGAATTGGTTATGCCAAGGTTCCCGGTGCATCAGCCACCGGCACTCCTGGTGCAAATGGCATCCAGTCGTCCCCAACCCCTGACCAAAACTTCAGATCAAATCTTGCAACTGCAGATGGGGCGGATCGAGCGGACAACGCTAACGTTATCCCTCAGATTCCTGCTCTGGCTGATCTGTTGCCTGAGATGGTGCAAATCGTGCAAGAATTCGGCGCAAGTGAAGATGACTTGAAGAACATCACGGCAAGCATCCAGACCTCCATCGCGTTCCAAGCTTTCGAGGATGAAATCCCCTCGGTCCAGGAAACGAGCCAGTCCCGGATGTTCGACGCCCCTCGTCTCCGTGACATCCGGAAGCGCATTGATAATGGCGCATGCTCGATCCAAGAGATTGAGGAGACTGCAGAGGCCATGCTTCCTGAAGTTGCAGAGCTAGCGTCCGATTACTTGGGCAACACCGTTGTTCAGAAACTGTTTGAATTCTGCTCTGAATCTACCAAGGAGCAGATGCTGACTCACATTGCACCCCACCTCTCCGAAATTGGTGTTCACAAGAATGGAACTTGGGCTGCACAGAAGATCATTGATGTTGCGAAGACTCCTGCGCAGATGCAATTGATTGTTGATGCTCTCCGTCCTTATACTGTTCCTCTTTTCTTGGATCAGTATGGAAACTATGTCTTGCAGTGTTGTCTGCGATTTGCTAGCCCCTTCAATAGCTTTATCTTTGAGTCTATGCTCAGCCGCATGTGGGAAATCGCCCAGGGACGTTTCGGTGCCCGAGCGATGCGAGCCTGTCTCGAAAGCCACCATGCCACCAAGGATCAGCAGCGGATGCTTGCATCTGCTATCGCTCTTCACAGTGTGCAGTTGGCTACCAATGCCAACGGAGCTCTTTTGCTGACTTGGTTCCTTGATACGTGCACTTTCCCTCACCGCCGCACAGTGTTGGCCCCGAGACTCGTGCCTCACCTTGTTCACCTCTGCACCCACAAGGTTGCCTACCTGACTGTCCTCAAGGTGATCAACCAGCGCAACGAGCCGGATGCTCGCGACATTGTTCTAAAGGCACTTTTCTTCAGCCCTGGCGATGAGGTTTTGGAGAAGATCCTGAGCGACCAGACGTCTGGTGCGACTCTGATCTTCAAGGTCTTGACCACCCCATTCTTTGACGAGTCTATGCGGACTGAAGTCGTGAAGAATGTGTCTAAGGTTCTCACAAAGCTCAAAGCTTCCCCAAGCCAAGGCTATAAGCGTCTGATGGATGAAGTCGGCCTCTCCTCACGAGGTAGCGGTCGGGAGCATCACCATGGACGTGAGCACTCCACCCCGGAGAAATCGCAACACCGTCAATCCTCTCGCCACGGAAGCACAGGCTATCCAGCCCAACCGGCCATGGACAGACAGTATAACGGGCAATTTACTCCCAACGCGTTTGGACAGAACGCCGACAACCGTCCTATCTCCGCCGAGCAGTCCAACCCCCCGCCCCTCGATCCATACTCTAGCAACGGACTCGGAAGCCACTTGAACGGTCTTGGTGGTGCAGGCGCATACAGCCAGGAACCACTGAGTCAGCAACAACTGCAATACCAAGCCTTCCTCGCCGCACAGGCTCGTGGGGTTTCCCCGGGCTATCCCGGCATGCCAGGCGCCAACTATGGCTACCCAGCTGGCTCGCCTGCTGTGGATAACCTGCGATCTATGCAACCGCAGCAGGCTCCCCCGCTGTCCACCGGACCGAACCAGATGCTTCCCCAGAACAACTACCAACAGTTCAGCCCCGTTGGCAACCCTGCCCAGATGTATCAATACCCTCCGCAATACTACCCCCAGGCGCAGCCTGTGCAGGGGCAGTCGGGCGGAGGCCGACGTGGACGGGTGAGTTCATTCTCGGATCGTCCCTAAACCGTGTAATGCGGCAATACTAACGTACATGCCTTTTTGCGCCCAGCGTTGATGCCATCTTCGCGTATGATTTTCTAATCGATCTGCCCTTCCCATCTACATGTATAAATTTTCTTGATCATCTTATCTTCTATTTTTTATCTCATATTTGAAGTTTCTCATGGAGACCAAGCGGGTTTATCTAGCTACGTGTTGTGATTTCACTGTCCTATCTCTTCGCCCTGATCGGACGCTGGATCGCCGGCAGGGGAGAATCGGACCGGGGAGGAACTGGATGCATGGGGGATCGGTGGTGAAAAAGTCTTGTGTCTCTTCTGGGTGGAGGCCCAGTTTTGTATCTTCAGCGTTTTTTTTTTTTTTTTTTTTTTTGGATGACCTTGTATCTTGTGATCTTACGATAGGGTTTTCTCTCTCTTCTGCCTATTGTTTTAAGATCGAGGTTTTGGCTGCCTAGTGGAGCATAGTGAATTGATGCAGATGTGAAAAGAGACTACATTGTAGTGAATGTAAATAAGTCGAATTCAATCAAAATGAAAAGAAACAATTTTATACCAAAATACCTCCGATGTTGAATTTATGAGGCTGAGAGCTAAAACCCCCACAACTACCCGGTGAAATCCGTCACTCATTTCCATCATCATCAACAACAGAGATACAAGGTCAGAAATGAGCAATAGTACCCAAGAGGAGACTGCGATTCTCTTCCAGGATACAAATACATACCTACTCGACATTCCACATTCAATTACGCTCGCGCAAGAAGGAAGACCAACACTACGCCAACAACCAGCCCCAGAATCCGGTTCAGGAGCAGAAAAGAGAATACACAGAAAGACACTGAACTTACTTTCATGCTCACCTATCAAAGAGCCATTCCCCTCTACCGAGCCTAAAACGCCCGCTGCTCTCGCCAGGCTCCTCGACACCATTCCTGTGTCTGAGAGGCGGTTCCACTTGGAACTGATACTGCCACTCGTAAGGGATTCCCTCGAAGCTATCAAGGCTGAATTTTCCCATGATCGCCGGTGGTGTGAGGCTCGAGCAGTGCCTAGTGAATCTGAACCTCATGATAGCACAACGCCGAATCAGCATCCACGGAAGCGCCGGAGGGGAAACGATTATACGCCCTTGGGGTCTGCGTCAGATAGCCATGTCTCGACTAAAAATGAACCACCAATGATTCTATCAACTACCTCGCCGAATGACTTTGAGGCCTTATCAGATCTTGCTATCGTCAAAAATCCATCACCAGAGCCCGCCATAATCAAGGTTGGAAGCGGGTACGGTGATGAGCAAAGTCCTCCTTATGAATATATTATCCCACCGGAGTCGAGCTTTGTGCTTTGTACACTACCTCTATTTGATGCCGAAGTCGACCGTCCATCTACATCTCATAACTATCCCATCCCCGGACTTCCCCATCATCAGAAATTCAATCTCATCCTCATGGACCCGCCTTGGCCAAACAAATCCGTGCGACGCAGTAAGCACTACCAAACACATCACTATTCAGAGATGGATGTGCTTACCGAAGGGTTACGAGATATACTCCGTGTACACTCGCACAACACGAAAACAAAGCAGGGGCTACATCCATCTGAGCTCCATTTGGAACCCCCGATCCAAAGCGAACAGTCTATAGCTGCGATATGGATCACGAATGCAGAAAAGGCCCGACGAGCAGCATACGAGGCCTTGAGCGGCGCGGGCTTTTGTATCTGCGAGGAATGGGTCTGGGTCAAGACTACGTGGGACGGGCAACCCATTTCAGCGCTGGACAGTCTTTGGCGAAAACCATATGAGATTCTTGTCATTGGGCGCAAGAGTGGTCATGATGCCAATGTCAGCGGACACGGAAACGGAAACGGAAACGCAGACAATACACTACCCCTGTCTCAGATTGATGATCTGACACGGGTGAGTGAGGCCATTACGATGAGACGGGTCATCGCTGCGGTTCCGGACTTGCATTCTCGAAAACCGAACTTGAAATCTATTTTTGAGGATGTGTTTTTCATGGAGAATGGTCAACTCCAGGAGTATTCTGCACTCGAGGTCTTTGCGCGCAACTTGACCGCTGGTTGGTGGGCTGCTGGGAATGAGGTCCTCCGGTTCAACGCTCGTGAGTGCTGGGTCGATCTTGGGGGCGAGGGAGAGGCAGACCTACATGAATGTGCATAACCATGCAAATAATGTTTTTAGGTCGGCCACATGCGTTACGCTGGGTGATTTCCAATGCTGTCAATAAGCGGGGATTGCCTATTGACTCAGCGCTTATGTGTACGAGGTCATTCACCCATGGATGGATGATTCATACTCGGTGCAGGGTACATATGATGTGTGGCGCTTACATATTTGTACATGCATGCCCAGGTGTATACATCGGAGCAGTCTGAGTCTGGACCTAGCACACCGCATCCTTATTCCTCAATGGGGGCCAAATCCCACGATCAGCGCGGCGGCCTTCCGCGCTGACAAAAGACTTTCATATTTTTGGTTCGAATTGCGAATGTAACACTCGATAAGTAATAAAATGGCATCTCTGATTTCTATTGCAATATATATATTCTTTGAGAAAACGTGGGAAAAGACTCTCGCTTAGATTGAGGTATGTAACCCCCTAAACCTGCCGAACGAAGCCTCATTAAATAGACAGAATTTTCCAAACTCCGTGGAAGATCTTCCAGAAATGGCGAAAGATCAAGAAAATGGTGCCAATGATTCAGCGGTCAATATTTCGGAACGCCCCAAATGCTTCAATAGCACATTCCAAGAAGTTCTCTTCGTCCTAACTGCCACGATGGCCATTGGCCAGCAGTCATTCTTCCAGGGCTGTATTGTGGGGGTAACAGCATCAATTGGCAAGGATTTACATATGAATTCCGCTGAGATTACCTGGATCAATGCCGGTGCTTCGTACGTTTCTCCCCCGCATTTTTCTACTCAATTTTGAGTTTCCCTCGATCTTGATCTGATCTGATCTGATCTGATCTGATTTTGATCTCGATCTCTTCCAAAGTTCCCATCCCGTATATGTTGTACATCATACAACATACCCGTGGACGTCACACACCATATATTATTATACACTATCTAACCATGCACTTACCCCAAATAGCCTTACAAGCGGTGCCTTCCTACTCACCTTCGGAAAGCTAGCCGACATGTTCGGACGCAAAGTTCTCTTCACAATCGGTATGGGAGGCTTCACCATCTCCCTACTCATTGCCGGCTTCGCAACAAACGCCATCTACATGGATGTTTTCTCTGGAGTTTTAGGTTTATTCGCAGCTGCTGTCGTCCCACCCGCGGTCGGCGCTCTAGGTGCTACTTACGAGAAACCTTCAAAACGCAAGAACCTTGCCTTTGCCTGTTTCAGCGCGGGAAATCCGCTGGGCTTTGTCGGCGGAATGATCATCTCTGGTGTCGCAGCGCATTTGTATAACTGGCGTGCTTCCTTTTGGGCTCTTGCTGTTGTTTATGCTATCTTTACCGTTTTGACTGTCTGGACGGTGCCGGCTGATGGGTTTTCTAGGGCGCCTTTGAATGTTGAGACTTTGAAGCAGTTTGATATTCTTGGGATGGGGTTGGTTGTTGTTGGGTTTGCGTTCTTTTCGAGTTCGCTTTCGTATGTTTTTCCCCCTGAATTGGATACATGTTCTTCTTTGGATATCTGCTGACTATTTTTATATATAGGCTGGCTGCAGATGCTCCGCATGGCTGGAAAACGGGATATGTCCTTGCTCTGTTTATTGTGGGGTTCTTCCTGCTCATGGTGTTTCTGTATTGGCAGTCCGTTGCTACAAACCCTCTCATGCCTCTTTGGGTCTGGCGAGATCGTAACTTCTCTCTTGTATGTGTGCTCACTTTCCAGGATATATATCGAAACTAACTGCTCAGCTCATTGGAACTTGCTCCCTTGGCTTCATGGGTTTCTCGGCCGTCAGCTTCTTCCTTTCCCTCTACCTTCAAAACCTGAAACATCTGGCTGCCCTTGAGATTACCGTCCAGCTACTCCCAATGGTTGTCAGCGGAGTGTTGGTCAATGTCGTCTGCGGTCTGGTCCTGCACCGCATAAGCAATAAAATATTAACCGGCATCGGAGCACTGGCGTATACAGCCGCGTTCCTTATCCTGAGCTTCATGAAGCAAGAAGCTAGCTACTGGGCATTTATTTTCCCAGGGCTAGTTCTTGTCGTTGTTGGCGCTGACATTCAATTCAACGTCACAAATGTACGTTCAGCCCTATGCTATTTCCATTCCTTGTCTTTGAGAGTATTGACCAACTTCATCTAGATGTACGTGATGTCCACCCTCCCGCCATCCCAGCAATCCGTCGCCGGCGGCATCTTCAACACCGTCATCAAGTTGTGTAGCAACCTGGGGGTTGGTATTGCTACTTCCGTGCAGAGCTCGGTCGCTCTTCGTATGACCGCCTCCACACCTGCGATTCGGCCTTACCTCTCAGTTTATTGGTTTGCGGCTGCGGCTTCGGGAGCATCTTTGCTTTTGGTGCCGTTCTTGACAATCGGTAAACAGGGCAACTCTGTCCCGCAAAATGAGCAGTTGGTTCCCGAAGAGGAGGTTGGCGAGAAGACAGCTGATACTCCTAATACGGATTCTGTTATTTCTTCTACTGTTGATATCACCGAGCACGAGAAGAGGTAGCCTACTGGGTTGACCTGTTTAGTCTCGAAGAGAGTCGGCATTGGGATTGAAGAGCAAAAATGTCTGCGATATCTGGAAATATCGCAGCTCAGATATATCATAACTTTTTTTTTGGCGGAATGTCAGACGCAGACACATATTATTAAATTTACTTAATAACATACCATTCATTGTCTTCAAGGCACAGCTCAAGAAAGACATCCCATGTATCCGAATACCAGATCCAGAAACATCCCCAATCCATCCCAATCTAATCAAACAAAGGCCCCAAGCTAACCAAACTAAACCTCAGATCCGGATTCCCACCCTGCGCCTCCATCTTCAAAAACCTCCTAACCCCCAACTCCAACGCAGCCTCACTAAGCGCATCCTCCCCCTCCCCAAGAACCCCCCTCGCCAAAGGCCCCTTCCTCCTCCCATCCAACTCCCAAAGCGTCCCATCAACGCCCCTCACAAAAGCAACAAAATGTAAATCAACATTATCCTCCGCCGCCGGCGCAGCCGTATCCCCCAATTTCGCCGCATCAGCATGCGCACTCTCCAGCGCCTTACTATCATACAGCAGATCAGCACGCTGAATCGGCTCCAGCCCCTCAGCTTCACGGAGTAACGTATCCAAATCCGAGCCGGGGATGACATGTTTCCGGGCCTCGCCATTTGAAACCGCGTGCAGGAGTCCGATCAGTCCACATGCGTTCCGGATCGTTTGCTTGAACCACATTACGGGCTCGGAGGGTCCGGAGCCTGTGTATGCTTGTTTGGAGGCATCTTCGCTTTCGCGGGAGGCTTCGTAGGTTTGCGAGACGGGGAAGACGAGGAGGAGGGCTTGGGAGGGGCGTGGGACGAAGGCTAGGAGGTCTGGCTCGTCGATGGAGAATACATCGGTGAAACCTAGGGTTGGGGCCAGGCCTAGTTGGTGGACTAGGTGGGACATTACTTCGGGGTTGTTTTCTGGTGAGGGGTTAGTTTGGGGTTTGGGGTTTGGCGTTGGGGGATGGGGAATGGGGAGAGCGCGGACCTAGTGGCACAAAGGCCTTTTGGGTGGCTGGGACATCGACGTGGGCCATTTTATTGTGATGTTTCGGTGGTGATTATGGTTATGGTGTTGTTGTATGTGTTGTTGTATGTGTTGTTGTATGTGTTGTTGTATGTGTTGTTGTATGTCTTTGGGATAAGGTGAGGTTTGAGAGGGGACCGAAGGATTGCGGGGTCCGTTAGCTTCCACGTTTTCTATGGGGGCCGATATTAATTGCTTCGATTGCTTTAATTGCAGCTTAAATTAGTTTCGATTGTACTTTAATTGAACTTTTACAGTTCAGTATAATCCATGATAACTCTTGATGTTGGACTCGAAAAGAGATAGATGAACTGAATCAATATGAAACATTTTATGTACTCGGGTTGTGCAATTGGAGTAAGGATCTTGGAAACCTGAAAAATAAGGTTATTCAAGGCAGAACATGTTTGCAGCCGTTTGCCGTTTTCACGTGGTACGTTCGCCCTTACATATATGTACGGGCCTACATACCTACAGTGGTGTTCCATGAGTATTTGACCTTGGGTACTTCGGGTCCCACCTTAGGATCTGACCGCCATTCTAGACCGCCTACTGTATTAGTATATTAAATCTCGCGCGTCCTAAACACGCTAGCATATGCGCTGTATATTAACGCGTTTTGAAGAGATTTTCGCACTGTTTTCTTATTCTATATACTAAAACATGCCTCCTATACGTGGGAAAAGAGGCCCAGAGCTTGACTGTCTTACTAGAGCTAAGATCTGTGAACTGCATAGTACCAATGGTTGGGGTGCAACAACTATAAAAAAGAAGCGATTTCCAGATATTCCACGCTCAACTATTCAGTATACTCTTACTCAAGAGTCAAAGCGTCAAAAGCAACAGTCTTTAGCACGCTCAGGGGGGCCAAGGAAGCTTACTGAAGACGACCGTGACCATATATATGAGACTATACAACAAAACCCGTCAATCTTAGTCGCAGACCTACTCGCAGAGGTCGATTATAAGGTTAAACGTACCTCAATTTGGCGGCTGACCCATGAAATGGGCCTTCGAAAGTGGCGGAAAATGCAACGGCCTACTTTAACACCTCTATCTGCTGAAAAACGCCTTACTTGGGCGCGAAGATATGAGCACTTCACTTCTGAGGATTGGGCCCGTGTGTATTGGTCTGATGAGTGTACTATTGAACGTAGTATCGGTCAGCGTCGAGAATGGACATTTACCCGTCCAAAGGACCAGCTTTGGGAGCACGAAGAAGAGGGCCATCAAGTCCAAATGATACCAACCCGTGGAAAACAGATTAAACAGATGTTTTGGGCTGCCTTTTCTGGTCTTCCGCGACGCTCTGGTTTAATTCCATTATTTGGTGATCCTCAGTCTCGCCGCGGTGGTGTTTCATCTCGGACTATTGAAGAGCTTTACCGGCGTGTTCTTCCAACACTTCTTAATAGTATTGATCAAGATGCTATTTTTCAACAAGATAACGCACCGG